GTGGCTACCAGCCACTATTGTTGAGATTATTGGGTCCAGAATGTATGAGGTACGACTTGCTGATGGTCGCAAGTGGCGTAGGCACATAGACCAGTTGAGGCAACGGTGGGCAACTGACCGTCCCAACGCGCTGCCAACTGAGTCCCCAGACCCCGAGGAATTCCCACGGCCTCTAGAGGAGGCGAGTACTGCAGAGCCTGAGGGCCACAGTACTGGGCAAGAGGCAGGGCAGACCCCTACTCTTGGACCCACTGAAACAGAGGGGAATGTTCCTGACTCTGCGGTTACAGAGTCCGATGGAGTGCCACTGACGGAACCGTGCCCTGACTGATTGTACCACCTCGTAGATCTCAGAGAAATCGACGTGCACCTTCCTACCTGAGTGATTATGACTGTTCATAGTGTTTTTGCTTAGGGGGGAGGGATTTGTAATGTATTCAGATGCTGCCCTGAATACATGGGGATGAAGTGTGAATCGTCCCATAGAGAAGCTATGCTAAGCTTCAGACGTCGGCTAGGATTCGCGCCGAAAGTATTGTGTCCAATCACATTTGAACTGTCTGTGGTGGGAACGTTTGTGATTGGGCTATTATGCGAACAACCTGATAGATTGGAACTTGTATAGTAGGTGTGGCTACATTAGCCCGGAATGTTTAAATACCGAGCAGCTGAAATGGACAAGCTGTTCGGGCTATGAGGAGTTGTACCGTGTTGGAGAAGTTGATTATCGAGCTGAATAAACCTGAGTTTTGCTGAAATCACTCTTCGACTCATTGTTAAGCGCCGGACTTAACAGAAACGGAGATGAGCACCGGAACCCTAGAGTCGGATTCGACTGGCTTTCGAGCAAGGGAACCTTTACCTTTTAGGCTGAGTCTAGGGAGGCTGTGTCTGACTGGCTGGTGTATGTTGCTGTTGACATATGTGTGTGTGTGTGTTTTGGGTGCCGCTGGATCGTACTGTTAGCCAGTATTGGGCAGCTCATTTCATGTACTTTTCATTGTATTTGCTGTTTCTGATATCCTTTGGAAAACCAATCAGAAGATGACGCCTAAACTTTGGCTAAGAGCACTTGTAAGATCGATAGTTCTTCCCCATTTGCTTGCCCTCAGAATGTATATACTGCCCCTGAACATGGAGGTTTCATTTAGGTCTTCCTATATCTTCTTAGTTTAATGTGCTCAGAAAGGGATCCAGCAAACCCATGAGGGATGGGGCAACAAACTGGAATTACAAAGCGAAATGGCCCCAGTCCAAGAGAAAGCGAAAGGCACGGATGCCTCTGTTGAAATCGAAGGGCTGAGGCGTTTTCCTTTCTGCGTTCCAATCAGGTCCGCAGGCCAGCTACAAACATTCTGACCCTATAAGAAGATAATTTATATCTTCCCATTTCCTGCTCAGCCACTACTTCTCCGGCTCCTCAATTCCAGCAATGATGACCTGGCCCGAAGCAGAGGTTATCGGCTGCTCCTTTCCAACCGTCCTCAGGAAGGACAAACAGTCACAAATGGTCTGTTTCTGTAAACACTCCCTACTCAGCTTCTGTTTGCCTTGTGGGAAGGGATGGGTGGTGGTGGCAGAAGAGCACTTTCTCATTCACGGGGGAAGGGGGGGGAGCAGGAAGTCCAAAAACATGAAAATCTCCTCCAGCCCAAGCACTGTAGGCTGGTTTCAGAGGCCAGTAGCGCCTTAGTGACAGAGTTTGCATGTGTTCAGTAGGGTTGCCAACTCTGGGTTGGGATATTCCTGGAGATTTGGGGGTGGAGCCTGGGGACAGCAGGGTTTGGGGAGGGTGGGGTATACTGCCATAGAGTCCACCTTCCAGAGCAGCTGTTTTCTTCAGGGGGGCTGATCTCTGTAGCCTGGAGGTCAGCGGCAATTAGGAAAGGTCTCCAGGCCCCACCTGGAGGTTGGCAACCCTAGCTCAGAGGCACTCTGGGTTGCAATTTCCTGTGTTCTGTCTTTAGTACAGGACGGGACTGTGATGGCGAGACCTGTCTTGGGGAGAAGTTCCGGCTCCACAGCTCCCAGCTCCCACGCGGCGAGTTCCAGTCTTCTCTCCTCTTCAAAAGCTTCTCAGTTGCAGGACTTGAAACCCCCCCCCCCCTTTTTTTTAAACAAGAAATTCTTCTAAAGAAGCTTCCTGGGCCACTCAGAAACGTGCGCAAACCCATCTCCGCGCGCCCCCTGGCGGTGCATATGCGTATCATGTCTCATTCCCCGCCCCTGAAAAGGCGGGCAAACGCGGGGACTTAAACATTGAATGATAGGTTTTTCCCGTGGCCGGAAGTACCCGGTTCCCATGGTAACAAACCCGGAAGTAGTGCCATGGCCCGTGCCTTCCTTTTTTCGGCCTCCTTTGTCTCCTTGGTGACCGCCAGGCCCTCCCAAAGATGCTCCGCGCACTCCGTTTCTCGAGGTGGGATCATTCTTCGCCTCTCCGCCTCGTTATCCTGGCCAAGGAAAGGAGGGCCTTTGCCAGCAACGTCGTTACGTAAGTCCACCGGAAGGGGAGAAGAAGAGGAGGGCCTGTGTTGGGCTAGGCCTTTTTTACCCCAGAGTTCCCCGCGCGGATTTTGCTAGGGCTTCAATGGCTGGATGTAATTTCGCCTTGACTGTGGTGAATGCCCGGATGAAGCTACAACCGGAGTGTGGTTGACGCGTTAAATAAGCCGAGTGCCCGGATGGAAACCAATTCCACGGACTGCTGTGGCACGTGCTTGGATGTGACCCTTAGGGTTGCCAACCTCCAGGTGGTGACTGGATAACTTGCTATTACAAATTAATTCCGAATTACAGAGATCAGTTATTCTTGCGAAAATGGCCAGTTTGGAAGTTGGACTCTGTGGCATTGTTCCCCCAACCCCGCCCTCCTCAGGCTCCACCCCCAAAATCTCCAGTTATTCCCACACCGGAGCTAGTTAATTTCAGGCCTGCCGCCTGTTTCACACACTGATTTTTTTCTAGGTGTGCATATAACATTTTATTATTAAGTACATTGACATATATGTGTTATGCCTCACTGAGGAAATATGTGTGATAATGCCCAAACGCTTGTACCAAGGGGACATGCCCCACAATCTCTGTCCAGCTGCCTCCTTCCTATCTATGACTGATGTCAGCCTTTACAAATATTTTTATTTAGAAAAGTTTACGTTTCCATCTTAGATTTGATACTGGAAGGGAATGGCAAAGTTGCACATGAAAAGAAAGATTCAAAAATGTAGGGGGGAGTGGTGGTGATGTATTTGCTGTGTTTTCATTTTCACCCACATTCAAGGCCACTCAGGTCAGCCTACATTGTTTATCCTCAAAACGACCCCTTGAGGTAGTAAGGCTCAAAGCGCAGGAATTCAAGTCCAATCACTGTGCTGCAAGGCCTCTATTTGAGTACTGTAAGGATTGGGCTGCACAACCGCATAATCTTTCCTGTGTTCCACGTGGAGACTAGCACTCTGTAGAATGAAAAGCCTTTCCATCATGCCCAGCATCCTTTTCTGTTCCTCCCATTTTCCTTTCTGTTTTTGTTTTGCCCATCATCAGTTCAGTCCCAAATATACAAATTCCACTAGTAGAAAAACACCATCAAAGATTGCCAAAACAATATATTAAACTACCTTGGTGGTGCCACAACAACAACATTTATGCATTGGAGAACCTATGATTCGCTCCTTACACTATGAACCTTTTGATCTGTTGAAATTGCTGAAATGAGGTTCCGTTTACACAGCCGGCAAACTGAAGAAGTCGAAGGAAACGCATCTTCCAAATATCTAGAATGGGCATCTTTGCAAAGGCTGTTTGGAATATGTTATGACCAGTGTTCCCTCTAAGCTGAGTTAGTGTGAGCTAGCTCATAGTTTTTTAGCCTCCGGCTCTCACATTTTTGTCTTAGCTCAGGAAGGATGGCTCCAGAGCAAACTGATGCAGTAGCCAAATCGCTTGCTCACAACTTTAATGCCAGTCGCTCACAAAGTAGAATTTTTGCTCACAGGACTCCATAGCTTAGAGGGAGCATTGGTTATGACTCTGTGGACTCCTCCTGTCAAGTAACACTGAGTACATGGACTTTATGTCTTATCTTCAAAGGAGGGAATATTGTATCTTATGCCTTATTACAGTTACAGTATGCATAAGTGTTGTGGCACCACCAACTTTATAATTGTTTAATATATTGTTTTGGCAATCTTTGATGGTGTTTTCTACTAGTGAAATTTGTATATTTGGGACTTCTGTGACACTAGTCTTTTTCCCTTTAGCCAGTTTGGTGTAGTGGTTAAGTGCGCGGACTCTAATCTGGGAGAACCAGGTTTGATTCCCCACTCCTCCATTTGCACCTGGCTGGATGACCTTGGGCAAGCCATAATTCTGGCACAGCTGTTCTTAAAAAACAGCAGTTTCTGTCAGAGTTCTCTCAGCCCCACCTACCTCACAGGGTGTCTGCTGTGGGGAGGGGAAGGGAAAGGATTTTGTAAGCCGTTCTGAGACACCTTTGGGTAGTGAAGGGCGGGGTATAAATCCAATCTCTTCTTCTTCTTCCCTTGTTGTTTGCATCATCAGTTCAGAGCAAGAATTCTTCAGAAAGGTTGCTCACTAACCTATGATGTTGTGGATTGCTCTTAATGAAAGATATTGCATGACTGGTGTATTTTTGATTTTGTCTAAAGGATCAAAGCGGTTTCCCCCACCCACCCCATATCATACAGTTGTGCTTGTCAGGGATTGGGGGTTGGCCATGGCTCCACTGTTGAGTGAGCCCTTGGTGGCAAACTTGGGTATCATGTCTGACATTTGCCCCTTGGCCCCTGAGCCCAAACCTCTCCGTCAACTTCAGTTTTAACAGAAACTGTCCAAGTTGGTGCTTTGTGCAGAAAAGTGGGGTGCAAAATGTCTTAAATAAGAAAGCATGTCCTTTCTCTGCCTCAGTGTAGGCTTTTACAGAAGCATTGGATTTTGCTGTGTTTTTCTCACTGTGGTTACGAAGGCTTCCAGAGAGCCTGCTGTATGGTTATTGGTGCACAATGCTGGTGTAATAGTTACAAGACTGTGGCAGTTCCCTAGTACTTTTGCCAATACCCCATGTTTGCCTGGGTTGTCGGGAGTCCAGGTCCTGCTAACTGTCTCCCCTCTTCTGTTGCAGGCCACTGTCCCTGTCCTACACAGTGTTTGATGGACCCTCACCTCAGCCTCCCCTTGTTTTTTTACATGGGCTCTTTGGAAGCAAAAACAACTTCCAGTCCCTTGCCAAAAAGTTGGTGCTCCAGACTGGGCGCCAGGTACATGGGTGTGTGTGTGTGTGTCTGAGCTAGTGAAGCGGATATCACTTATTGGGATAGCTGTGGATAGCCCAGGTTAGCCTGAACTCATCAGATCTCCGAAGCTAAGCAGGGTCGACCTTGATTTGTTTACAGAGAAGAGTTACACCTCTTGCTTCTGCTTAAAAAGCAGACCTCCAAGGAATACCAGGAGTGTAACGCAGAAGCAGACAATGGCAAACCACCTCTGAAACGCCTCTTGCCTTAAAAACAAGTCTAGCTAGTGGTGCATAATGCTAAAAGAGCTAGAACTTGTGACTGCCAGACAATCTTAGGATCTCCTAGATGGGGACGAGTAACATCTATGGGTCCGTTAACCTCCTTATCGCTATGTAATATTCTTGGGGTACTATCCTGTTAGTTAATAGATTGACACTATTGAGTACTTTACTTGTGATGTGATATTTTATTCTGTTTTTATGCTGTTTTATGTGAAGGCACTTGTTGCCCTATTGTAAGCCGCCCTGAGCCTGCTTGCGGGGAGGGCGGGGTAGAAATGTAATGATAAATAAATAAATAAAAATTCTACACACAATGCCGTACGATAATTATTATGCTGTGAGGACCTCTGGATCGGCTTGTGTCACCCTCAAGAACTATTGGTTTGTTTACGGAGAAGAGTTAACACCTCTTGCTTCTGCTTAAAAAGCATTTAGGACAGCTTACAAAGTAACAGTAAATGAATATAACCAGCTTTTCTGCTGACAGGAAAGGGACGAAGGGTCCCCTTTTACCATCTGAAAATGTTTTCCGGGGGGTCAGGTAACCTGCATGGACAAAACCTACGTGGGAGGCAAGAGCTGTAGTGAGCAGAGGAGTTGGGTGGGATTGACTGGAAAAGCTGGTCAGATCCAACCCAGCAGCAAAACAGCAGCAGTTAAAATCCCTACCGTGCCCTACCCACATCTAGCTTTAGAACCCTGGAACCCTTAAAAGCATCCACAATAAAAATGATAACCACCTTGGATTCTTTAGTGTGTTTGTGCCAAGATTGTTGGCATGAGAAAGCAGGCTCTGTTTACCCAAGCGTCAGAGAAGATTGTGCCATCCTGGGAAGAAGCAGAAGTCCCTTCACTGCTTAATGTGGCTGTTGCCAGGGTTTGAGCAAGGCCTGCCCTGTACCATCTTAGTGCTGTTCATCTTCTCTTGCCTAGTTAGGTGCTGACGGTAGACGCCCGTAACCACGGCAGCAGCCCCCACAGCTCCTTGATGTCTTACGAAGCCATGAGTGCTGATGTCCAGCTCCTCCTCCACCAGCTGCACCTCAACAGGTGTGTCTTGATTGGGCACAGCATGGGTGGCAAGACGGCCATGGTACTCTCGCTCCAGCGGGTAAGTATGCTACTACCCAGGCTGAAGCGTCTGGCTACAGGAGGTGGACATGGGGATCGGTGTGGGGACGGCAAGCCTGCAGACACCCTGCTTAGCTGTCTTTGCTCTGCTCTTTACAAATCCAAATTACACACGGGGGAAGCTCGTTCTGTGAACAGGTGGGATAATGCAAGTTCGGTTCATTGGCATGTCCTGTGCTCTTTCTGTATTTGACTCTACTCTAGTCCAGTGTTCCCTCTAAGCTGAGCTAGTCTGAGCTAGCTCACAGTTTTTTAGCCTCCGGCTCACACGTTTTTGCCTTAGCTCAGGAAGGAGGGCTCCAGAGCAAACTAATATATGCAGCAGCCAAATTGCTCGCTCACAACTTTAAGGCCAGTAGCTTACATAGCAGAATTTTTGCTCACTAGCCTCCACAGCTTAGAGGGAGCATTGGTCTAGTCCCAGGATCCAGGCTTTTGAAATAGCTGGCAACTTTTGGCCAAGGAAGGGACTGTGGCTCAGTGGCAGAGTTCCTGTTTTGCATGCAGAAGGTCCCAGGTACAATCCACAGCATCTCCATCCTCAGGTGGCAGATGTGGGAAAGACCTGTCTGTTCCAGAGAGCCTCTGCCAGCCAGCGTAAGAAAGACGGAGCGAAATGGACCAGAGGTCTGGTTCAGTTGAAGGCAGGTAAAGGTAAAGGTTCCCTTGCTCGAATGCCAGTCGAATCCGACTCTAGGGTTGCGGTGCTCATCTCCGTTTCAAAGCCGAAGAGCCAGCACTGTCCGAAGACGTTTCCGTGGTCATGTGGCCAGCATGACTAAACACCAAGGTGCACGGAACGCTGTTACCTTCCCACTGAAGTGGTACCTATTTATCTACTTGCAATTTCTTGCTTTCGAACTGCTAGGTTGGCAGGAGCTGGAACTAGAGACGGGAGCTCACTCCCTCATGCGGCACTCGGGTCTCGAACTGCTGAACTACTGACCTTCCACAGCCTGCAGTTCAGCGTCTTAACCACTTGAGCCACCGCAGCTCCTGAAGGCAGCTGCTGATGTTTATTTACAAAAATTGAAGCTATACTCTTCTGCATCTAACAAAGGTGCTATAGCTCCATAGCAGATCATGTGCCTTGCAATGCAGAAGCTTCCATGTTGGACTCCTGACATTTCCAGTTAAAAGGATTTTGGGTAACAGATTCAGAAAGACCAGACAAAGAACTTCAAGAGCTTCTGTCAGGCAGAACAGACAGTACTGAGCTGGATAGGGCAATGCCTTGACTCTGTAACAAAGTTTGAGTCCCCTTTAAGACCCACAGAGTTTTATTCCGGGTATAAGCTTTTGTGTGCATGCACACTTCCTCAGATACAGTGGAACAGAACCTCCTCAGCCATTACTTATAGGGAGTAGGGTGGTGGGTGTTGTCAGGAAAGACCGTTTATTGTCAAGATGCACAAGTACCGGGTGACTGTAGTTGAGACTGGATGTAAGGAAGATTTGTGAATGACAGTGAATTAGCATACAAATGCAAGAGTTAACAAACAAATGTGGGAACAAAGTTTGAGTCCAGTGGCACCTACAGGACAAAGTTCAATTCTGGGTGCAAGCAATATCAGAGAGACTTCGTATGTACACTCCTTCAGATTCATTGAAAGAGATTTCCTCAAATATTTCGTATGGGGGGGGGTTAGTTGCCAGGAAGAGCTAATTAAAGTCAAGATGCCTAGGTCACTGAGCAATAAATACAGCTAAGACTGGAATGACACATCAGGTAAGACATGTAAATAGCAGTAAGTTGGTATACAGTTGGAGGCTCTGTTCCACTGTATCTGAGGAAATGTGCTTGCACTTGTTGTTGTTCAGTCACACAGTCGAGTCCGACTCTTCGCGACCCCATGGACCAGATCCCGCCAGGCCCTCCTGTCTTCCGCCATCCTCTGAAGTTTGCTCAATTTCATGTTCGTTGCATCTATGACACTGTCTAACCATCTCATCCTTTGCCGTCCCCGTCTTCTTTGACCTTCAATCTTTCCCAGCATCAGGGTCTTCTCCAGTGAGTGCTCCCTTCTCAATGGGTGGCCAAAGTATTTGAGCTTCAGTTTCATTATCTGGCCTTCCAGGGAACAGTCAGGGTTCCCATGAGTAAAACTTGGTTGGTCTTAAAGGTGCCGCTGGACTCAAACTTTGTGCTGCTGCTTTAGACTAACACAGCTACCCACCTGAATTGACTCTATAAGGCAGCTTTGTATGTGGGGAAGTGCTGTGACTCAGCAGTAGACTGTCTGCCTTGCATGCAGAATGTCTTTGGAGAGCCACTACCAGTCAGAGAAGACATTGCTGAGTGAGATGGACTAACAATATGCCCAGAAACTCTATACCCTAGTTGACTGTGCTGATGGGCTATGAGAGCTCTCGTTGTTCCTGGGAGGAATAGCCGGGAGAAAGAGCCATGGCCTCCCCTTGTCTGAGGTGGTGCCATTTTGTTTCCTGCAGCCATGAGGATTAGGCTGTGCTTAAAACTGGAGGCTCTACAGATCTGTTCCTTTTCTCTGGTGCAGCTGCATGTGGCTAGTTCTGGCCAACTCATCTCAGAAAGGATATTGAAGAGGTGGGGAGGGTATAGAAAGAGGCTACCAAAGCAGTTGGGGTTGGAGCACTTTCCATTCAAGACGTGGAAAGAGTTGCACTTTTTTTTAGTTTAGGAAAAACAATGGCTGGGGAAAAGAGGCATCAAAGGGGCTTATAAAATTATGCAGAATGTGATGAAACTGGCAAGGAAAACGTTTCCTCCCTCTTCCTTGATTCTAGGCAATGCAGGGCATCTGGTGAAGTGAATGGGCCGTAGATTCAGAACAGAAAGCATTTTCCCCCCACAGCGCCCAGTTAACTGGTGGGACTCGCTTCTGCAGGATGTAGCAATGACCGCTGGCTTAGATGGCTTCAACAGGGATTAGACATATCTGTAGAGGAAGTGTATTGGCCATGCTAGTTATAGGGGATCCTCATGTTCAGAGGTGTGTCCTGAATACAAATTGCTGTGGGTAAGGAGGACAAAAGAAGGGGGCTTCAGCCACTGTGCCCCATTTGCAGGCCTCCCAGGGGCCTTTGTTTGGCCATTGTGGAGAACAGGATGCTGTACTAGAGAGGCCTTGGGTGCAGTCAAGCAGGGGTGTCTTTGGGATGGATTCTCCAGCTTTCCCAGGG